TCTATGCATCCCTCTGTCTACCTCTCTGTCTATCTTTCTCTCTGTCTGTCTTTCTCTTTATCTGTGTATTTATCTATCTATCTGTCTCTCTATCTCATTATCTCACGTGTGTTTATCCATCTCTCTGTCTCTCTATCTCTCTATCTATCTATCTATCTATCTTTCTAATTATCTATAGAATTACCTATCTATCAATCTCTCTATTTGCCTCTCTATCTCTATCTCTGTTTCTATCTATTTATCTACCTCTCTATCTATCTATATCTGTCTATCTATCTATCTGTCTGTTTATCGTTTATCTATCTCTATCTCTTTCTCTATCTATCTATCTCTCTCTCTCTCTATCTGTTTTTCTATATCTCTATCTCTTTATCTCTCTCTCTGTCTATTTATCTATCTATCTTTCTCTCTCTCTATCTATCTATCTATCTAGCTATCTCTTTCTCTATCTCTTTCTATCTTGACTTCGCGTACTACTTTCGTACTTAAAAGTTGCGATTTTGGAGCCCCAGCTGCGAAAGTGGACTTCACGTACTACTTTCGTACTTCAAAGTTGCGATTTTCAAGCGAATGTGGACTTCACGTACTACTTTCGTACTTAAAAGTTGCTCAGCTGCGAAAGTGGACTTCGCGCACTACTTTCGTACTTAAAAGTTGCGATTTTCGAGCCCTACTTTCGTACAAGCCCCAGCTGCGAAAGTGGGCTTCACGTACTACTTTCGTACTAAGTTGCGATTTTCGAAAGTAGACTTCGCGTAGTCGAAGGAAGTTTAGAAGTCTAACTTCCGACAATATCGACAACTCAAGCAGAGCAGTGCAGAGCGAGAGATAGAGAGAGAGAGAGAGAGAAGAAGAGAGAGCAGAAGAAGTAGCAGAGAGAAGCGATGAAGAAAGATGAAGCATGGTGTGCGAAATGTTAGAAAGGTCGCGAAATGCTGTATTTTTCAATGTTTTGAGCCTCCAGACGGCCCAGAAGTTACCTCGGTAAAGCGGCGGGTGCGGAGCCTTTGGTCGGAATTGCTGGCAAAAAATCGCACGCGGCCTGCGCGCGGTGAACATTTGCAAGTCAAAATCGTAAAAACACTACATTCCCGGCACACGTTTGGAAGCTCCAACTGTCAAAAATCGCACGCGGCCTGCGCGCGGCGACATTTTGGAAGTCAAAAACGTAAAAACACTACATTCCCGGCACACTTTCGGAAGCTCCAACTTTCAAAAATCGCACGCGGCCTGCGCGCGGTGCACATTTAGAAGTCAAAATCGTAAAAACACTACAGGGTCGGGCTACTTTTGGAAGCTCCAACTTTAAAAAATCGCAAGCGGCCTGCGCGCGGTGCGCGTTTTTAAGATGCAATGTAGCTTGACAGCGGTAAAACGCATTGGAATGGCAACGCGCAAGGCTCTCATCTAACTTTGGAATGGCAACGCGCAAGACTTTCATCCAATTTGGAAAAAATGCGTGGCGCTTGCGCGCGGTGCGCGTTTCTAAGATGGAATGCAGCTTGGCAGTGGTAAAACGCATTGGAATGGCAACGCGCAAGGCATCCTAAGCTGCCCTGTTGAGTTAGTCGCGCTCTAGATAGATAGACAGACAGACAGACAGATAGATAGATAGATAGATAGAAAGCTGGAAAGATAGAGAGACAAGTAGATTTTTCGATAGATAGAGAGGTAGACAGGCAGATAGATAGGTAGATAGACAGATAGATAGATAGATAGATAGTAATGTCGCTGTGACCGTGTGGCGTTTCGGCTGTGTCTTGTCAGTTGCTCCGCGTATGTCATGTTTGTTCAATGTCCCGGTTTTCGTCACCAGCATCACTAGCATCACCACCACCACTGTTCATGTTTGTTCATGTCCCGGCTTTAATCGCGGAGCGGCAACTCACATCACCACCGCCACTACCACCACTACACTTTCACCAGCACTCCCACCAGCACCACACACAGGCCGAGAACATGTTGATGTTCTAGTTTGTTGTTTGTCACCAGCCGACCTACCAGCATCACGCTCAGGCGGACAACCTCTTGATGTTTTTTTTTAGTTTGTGTTTTCACAGAACGCATATACTTCCACAGACACATGCCAGTGACATCGTTTCCTTGTGTATCCCGCACGGTGGAGCGCGTCTTTTCTGACCGCTCCGGACGCCATGGCAGACGCATTTGATAAGACGGTGGCGTTTTTGGCAGCCTACTCGCAGGAGCTTGTGCAAATGAAGAAGCCGACGCTTACAGCTTTGCTCAACAGCAATCGGCGCAGTCAGGTACCAGAGTGGGAGCGAGCCAGAAATTTCTGCAGACGTAAACTTTCAAGCTTGGAGCCAGCTCAGCAGCAGATTTTGGAAGACTGGGAGTTTGTGCTTTGTGACAAGTCCACGTTGGAGGCTGCGCCTTTTCTGGCCGGCCTTCAACGCTGCTTTTGACATTGACGAGTGTCTCCAGCTTCGCACCGCGGCACAAGAGGTGCACGATGACCTCGAACGCTTGACAAGACAGC